TTATTGTTGGTTTTATTTGAGTGTTTCCTTTATATAATCAGTGCTGAATTATTCAATTATTATAATTAAAAATTAATGTGAAAGTAAGTTCATTTAATCGAAATAAACTAAGTGATTGTGTGAAGCTCTTTGTTTTATTTTCAAATAATGTCGGACCCTGATCCTACATGTACTTTCTAAGATTATTCAAACACCATTAGTAAACGGTGTAGGAAAACATCGTGAGAAAACCTGGGCTTATCATTTCTAATTATAAGTTTGAAATCGCCAACCTTGAGCAAGCGTGGTGGTTATTGCTCAAACCTTCTCCGTGTGAGAAGAGGCTTTGCTCAGCAGTGGGCAGTTGATAATGATGAGTATACTTCTGTCACTGCGAATTCCTTGTAAAATGACAGAGTCGGCACGATATTTAAGTAGGTACGACTTAAACTTGAGTTTGAGCCTTTCAGTATTCGGGCGTTAGGTTCCAAAACACTTTTCACACACAATATGACTAACTCAGAACAAAACTTCAGCTTTGCCTCCAATGGCTTTGACACAAAGTTCCTCATACTTTCAACCCCGTCTATGCTAACACGACTTTCGAATCTATATAAAGTGAATTATAAAGACAGCATAAAAGCGACGGACGCAGCCCTGGGACCCTCTGAGTAAATATTTTCACTGGAAAAATTCAAACAATTTGAGAATAAAAAAGACATACCATTCGATCGTAGACGGCTAATTTATTTCTTCGAATCAACGACCCGTTCATTGGCCTATAAATTCACGGAGCACCAGTGCTAACAAAGTGATAAATTCTATTCTACTGAATGTGCCTTACCGGTTTGACATTTGGTCGCGTAAACTCTTGCTTTTAACGGTTGCTTTGTATCGGCATTGAGACGAGCAAGTTCATGCAACAAGTAACATCGTTCAGACTCGCGTGTGCTCATCAACAATGCTCGTTCTAAAGTACGAATGCGAACTCTGAGGATAAAATAAGGTGTTACAAATTTTTATAGTATGAAGGATCATCTACTAGGTATTTTGTACCTTGTTGACATCGGAATTAAAACCAAACTTATTTACTACACCTAAATATCTAATATGACTAGACACGATAAATGTATGTATAATAATTAATTGTATATTTTATTAATTCCTTTTTTTTAAATGGATCATTGCGCATTTTCAAGACAAAATTAATAGTTATTATATAGGTAATTCATAGACTTAACACTAATTGTTGGCGTCATCTGTACAAGTATTATACATATAAAACTAACAACTAGATAAGGCTAGCAATGTTCATAGATTAGAAATGGTAATTTTAAAAGTTAAATAATCTTAGATTAAAATGAAGTAAATCTAGTTCATAAACGTAGAATGTACCTACTTTAAAGATCATCATTATTCGTTCGCAGGAAAAAGTATACTTATAGTAGCTTCATTTCATTCTAAGATTATTCTAAAAATACCATTTCATTTCATTGTTTCAATAAAAATGAAAACAATAAGATATACGCAAAGATTACGTACATTTGGAAAGCATATTATTTTTAATGACACGTTATCTAAAGGCATATAAGGGAGGAGATAAGCCACCACAGACATTAAATAACATAAAACGACAGGGTGGGACTACTGTCGGCTAAGCGACGGTTTCAGATAAAAGGTCGAATTAATTAAAGAAAGTTAGGTCAAGGCAAAGTTACGTAACCTATTCAGTCTAGTTTCATACGAGACACCGAGTGTGCTCTCATTTTATATGCTTCGTTTTAAGCCCGAGAAAGTTAGACTTGCTCAGATAAAAGCGTAACAATCTTGAGAATTCATTATAATTGAAGCCTCTTTTTATTTCAAATGTGTTTCGAAAACGTTTTAATAACTCAGTAAGTTTTCGTTGGACTTTTTCGACCTTAACACAATTCGTAACGTTAAGGCGTTGGGTCTATTGGCCACAGATGTAAGTGGAATACTAAACTCACTTAGCGTCCCGAGGCGGAGCTGGCGGTCGCACCCGGAGCACGGAGTCGCGACTCGGCTCACGAGACACCGTCATGCCCAGAAGAATAAACGCCCTTCGTTCCCGATCCGCCTCGCTCATACTTTCTCGAACACGTTTCTGAACATAAAATAAGAAAGATTTTTCACGGTCTACGTGACTTGGCAAACAAGCTCTATTAAAGTTCCCAGCTTCGTAATGTCCATGGCTACACAATTTATAAAATAATGCAGCAATGAACCTACCTGGTCCAGGAAAGCGTTTCCAACAATATCGTGAAGCTCTTGCAAGAATTTATCTTTTCCCGGTAATAAGTTGGCTGGTTTCCTTGTTATTTGTTCCATTCCGAACTCGGCTTGTTCCAAACACTTGGCGGTATCTCGTTCCTCGTAAATGGATTGAGCTGTCTGTATGAGGCGACGTGCGTCGGTGGCGTGTTGCTTTTGCGTGCGCGTCAATTGTTCCTTCCGCGCGCGTGACAAGCGGGCCCGGGCTGCCGCCCCTAGTGCTCGAGCAGCGTAAAGAGGCCTTCGCTCACGTAAGACAGCCTGATTCATATTAAACAAACGATCAGAACCTACAAAGCTAACATAAGAAATACGAAATATCTGAATTATAATATGTTCCAGCCTTTCAAAGGAACGTGACAGGCTTACGCAATTTAAATGATAATATCTGTCTGAAAAAATGGACTGGGCGAAAACACAGACAGCAAAAAACATCTAAATATTACTGGAATACGAGGATAATGCCTACTGTTCAAATATTGCGTTAAAAATTGCTATTGTTATTCAATTAAGCTTATATTCTCGTTTCGTATTTTGTGAATACTGAATCAAGTATAGGGTTAGATAACAATCTGTACAAGTGCTATAAATTACAATTTACTCGGCCATTTATAAAGAACGGCGGCGAGCAATATATTACATTTTGTGGGTTAACAGGTCACAGTTTAATTTTATTGAATTAGATAGTGTGAGCGTACTTGTCGTTTCTCGACGTCGGCGAGCGCCTTTTGGGCCAGTTCTTGCAGCTTTAAAGATCCTTGTTTATTGGCAGAGACCAATCGTTCGTCCTTACATAAGGCAGTTAAGAAATATTTGTCATGTGCCATTCGCTCCAAATATTTCGAAGCCATTAAACGGGAGATTTGTTCGGCTCTCTGTTTTTCCGCGCGGGATATTTCTTGGACCTAGAATTACGGTTATTGCCAACATATTTTTTATTTCTCGTTGTAAACAAAGACGTATCTGCACTTTAGTAAACGAGGTATAGACGTTCTTTATACGGAAGTGCTATAATAAATCCTTACCCATATTTATAGCATAACAATTTATTTTGACAAAATGGTGGTCGTAAAGTGAATTAATAGGTAACTACAAGGTCGGGAGCATTTGTAATAAATTAAAGGTACACAGTAATTTTACTAAAATTATTTTTTTTTGTTTTTGATTGATGTGCATACGTTAGTATGTACAGGTAGTAAACATAAAGTGGCTAATAGCCTTCAAAGGACCAAATATACCATGTGCAACATTGCATTAAACTTGGAAAATAATACCTATAATGATTTAAAAACTTTTCAAAACAAATGATGCAGCAGATACAACAACCAACCAACATTTATCATAATAAATACTCAACATTTAAAACAACAAAGTAGTTTGTCGTACTTTGGTCATTTTATGCATAGCGCGCTGGCTGTTGTGAAATATGACGAAAGTTTTGAACCTGTTGTTCCTTTTGTGGTTGCATACGCCTGGGCCGAAGCAAGACATTAGGTGCATCCTCATCGAGGGACTGTCGTCTTATCTCCATGTTCTTAAGCAGTGTCACAGCTGTTTGTAATACTTCGCTCGCCGTCTTCCCAGCACATTCCCGTACCTAATAACATTTGCAGTAAATTAGCAAACGTAGCAACTTAATCTTGAATTGTCGTATCTCGTCCATGACCTAAATAGCTGGTGAAACACTTGGCGGTACATTTGAAGTTATTTATGTTGTCTTGCACTGGGTTTAAGATGTCGGATATTTTGTTCTGTTTCTTAGTAGAGGTATGATCATTTGTTTCTTTGTACATAATTATGTTATTACTGTTTCTGTTGCAGTGTCGACATTCTGGACTGTAGGTACGAAATGTTGTGAGAATTCGACATACGAGAAAGTGTTGAAAATGTTTTATCAGGAAAAAGTTAAAACAAATATAGAAACGATTTTTGGAATTCATTTTAATTACAATGGGTAAACGTAAGCATCATGCTTAAACTATCAATTTTTATTTTATTTTATTTATTTAAAAGACTTCATGCACACACTAATGTACAAGGTGGGCTTAATGCCTAGGGCATTCTCCTCCAGCCAGACCTTTGGGTGATGCAGAGACAAAAACAATGGTCGATACAAGAAGCAAGCGTATTTAGGAATCGACAGAAATACATAAAAAAAGGATAGTATAGACTTACATAAAATAAATCCCTCTATAAACTTACATGTATATGTCATAACAATAAACTTACACAATTATATTACATGTACTACTTAGACGTAACATAATTATACATAGTATATTGATAGTTACGATTCTGCCAACCTCCTCAAAAGTCTCCTCAATTTTTATATAAAAAAAATACAAATAAGTTTCCCGTTGTTGAACTGAGTGCTCACTTTTCAGTATAAAAGTAGGTCATTAAGAATACATCTGAATAGTCATAATAACAGCCTAAAAAGTTTTGAGGGACTGAAAAGAGCAGGCAACACTGTGAACTTATTTTTTCATGTGAAAAAATTTCGTTGCTACATTTTGGTGCGAAAACATTCCATTAGAAGATGGCTGAATAGCGTGCAAAGTTTGTTATTTTTTTTTTACTTTTCTAAGCGAGTCACTTGTTCGTCTTTTTAGTGAAAAATAAACTGAAAGCGGAATGTCTCGTCTTTTTGATTATTTTATCAGAAGATTTAAAATTTTAAACGTCTCATTGGCTGTTTTACCATTTTTTTTTAATTATTATTTTATACTAATACTTTGTTCACATTTACGTAAAGTTTAAGTAAAAAATACCTTAAACTTGATTTTGAGTAAGCAGAGATGAACATTTTTACGAGTAAAAGAGCTGTTATAACTTTCGTGAAACATACTCAATTAATTATTATGTTTTTCGGCCTATTCACGTAAATATTGAACGGAACTCGATGAGTTTCAAGCCATGCTAGAGACTCATATTTATGAGCAGCATTCCGCGAGCCGCGACGCGGCGACTGTCGCGCTGTCACTTTAGCAGAAACTAGTCGAGTTCCACGTCAAATCATTACGTGAGTAAGCCGATAAGGCGAAAACAAAATAATTAATTTAGTAAAAAGCTTTTTAGAGGCTTCTATAAGTAACATGATTTATAATTTACTCAAATAAAACCTTACCGTTTCCTCAGCGCATCGAGCACATTCAGCGAAGTCTGGCGGGAACCGTCGCATACGCTGGCCCCTGTGTGCGAGCACCAGAGCGCGTTCAAAGGCGCACTTCTCATACTCAGTTTGCGCACGAATTTGCAAAGCTCTTGAATTTCGAGGCTCCAATGCTGCGAAAATCATATTTTTCTTTTTATCTATGAGTTTTGGTGTTTTCAAATGTCTGATCATTGATTTTCTTGAAATAAAAATAGGTCCTTGGACTAGTCGTCTTAACGTTGTATTTTTTTTTCTTTGCGCATTGTACTGTAACTTTGATTAATAATTCGTAGAGATGTTGTAGTATTTTTAATATATTAACACTTGAAAGACCAAGGCAGTCAAATTGACCGCAAGGCAATTTCATTGTTAAATATTTTGCAAACTATGTTTTAGTTCCTTTTAATATTTTATGACTTTTCCTAATTTGCTATTCTTAGGCTTAATCTATATTTATAAAAAAATAAGTATATGTTGTATTTGAGTTTCGATTACAAATACCTACTAAGACCGCGCACCGTCAATGTGACGGTATACATATAAAGACAGCGATAAGAATAGTGAACAACGATCTCTTCAAACTAAAGTGGGTACTTTTGTTTTTATTTATGTTGGGTTGAATTCTGACTAATTTATTAGTACCTAACTTGTTTACATTTTATATTAGGCATTGGTTCCGTTCGCTGAGCAGTCGTGTAGCAAGTGACGGCACAGAAAGGACTTTTGTTTCACCAAACGCCAGTGAAGAGGGACCTCGTAGCTAGGGCCAAAACGTAACCTCTGACAACTTTTTCACATCACTAAATTCGGCTAAAACACTATTGGTCGAAGACTAGTATTGTTGGAACAATGCGGCGTGCAAGACGAGGCAGATATGAATACCTCTGTAGTATGAACTACAAGATATAAAACCTTCATAATGAAAACCGTTACCGATACAACCCTTACTGTCTATCAAGGAAAACCAGGAACACATGTTATTATTTTGAGTACTCTGCACCTCAACATAAATATAGGTACTGACAAAAAAAGTTGCCTGAAACAATTGAATTTTACAATAGGTACAACAAAATTTAGTGTAGACATCAGCGATCAAATGACACGCAAGTATACCGTAAGAGCTGGAAGTCGAGGATGGCCTGTCATGTATTTTACAATATACTTGATTTAGTAGCTATAAACTCATGTGGATTCTTTATCAAAAAGTTATTAGGAATAAAAAATTCTCGTCATGATTTCATCATTCAACTACTGAGCGTACTACGTGAAGAGTATGTAATAAAAATCCACTTCAACTATGACACAGCATCAAGAAACTAATTCTAAAACAAGTGTACCTACCATCTACTAAAAACAATAAGAGATGTCAAATCAACAGTAATTGTAAAAAAAATAAAACATGTGAAAACTGCATTATCTGTAAAAAACCTGTTTGTGGAGAATGTAGAAAACAGTTTAAAAAACTATTAGGTACTTGCTACAAATGTTACTCAATTTAATGCATTTTTTACTATTAGTAAAAAAATACATTTATATTATTTTTATTTTATTTTAATGCAAAATATGCAATAATTTCATAAGTATTCTGACTTAATCTCTAGTACCGTCAAATTGACCGCTGCGGTCTTTGAAGGTATAGCTAGAAGCCTGGCCCTTCTAGTGTTAAGGAGAGAAGAATAGTTAATATCCCCTTAAGATAGCATAAAAGTACCTTATGTAGCCATTATTAAACAAAGAACAATAAACGTAAACACAACATAAACTCAAGAAAACCCATTTACATTTTTAAAGCTGTGCAATGTATGAAAATTTCAAGAGATCGCGTGTAGAATCTTTTCTTTAGAACTCGAGTGTGAATATCGTATAAACCTTTATTGGCCTTTGTTCATAGTTAATTGGTAATACAGGTGCATAGTTAATGTGTAGACCCAATGAGACGGGATTACTTCACGTTTTATAAAAATCAACTTTAATCTGATGCGATAGAATTCACTTTATACTGGCATGACTATTCTATTGACTTGACGTTATTCAAAATCAACTATCATAGTATAGAAATAAAGTATAGTTTAGAAGAATCAAAGGTGTTTTAGTTTCACTATGGAGTTTATACCAGCTGCATGCGCTGCGTCAGCCAAGGCACCGGCGTAATGCGTTGATTTCGCTCGAACCAAACTTCGGCCAAGCAAGGAACGAACATCCGAACCCTGTAAATAAAAGATACGTTCATGTTTTTACCAGCTACTTGGATGGAGTAGGTACGATTTTATCGCCAAAAACATCCTTAAATATGTATGTTTTATATGCAGATGAACAGATATACGGACGGATATTAAGTTGCTATGGTTTTTTCCTTTATGTTTACTTTATTATATACCAATAATTTCGTTTTCCCTCGAGAATATCAAATTTTTGCGGGATAAAAAGCTCCCTATTATTTAATCCAGACTTCTAACTTTATGTCTGCAAACAAACAAACTCACTTTCCGATTTATAATATTGGTAAGGATGTAAGCCCACCACGTAGTACTTTGTCCAGGGGGTAGTACTAAGTACAATGCCACCATAAAAATTTGATGCTTTAGTGGCACCACAAGAAAAAAAAAGAATACCATTCTTTCACATATAAGGTCTTTCGGCCGAAATTAATAACCAAAATTAATGAACAAAAACATTACGAGTTACTCACGTAACTAAAATGAAAAAAGCTCAACTAGTTTCGAACCACAGAGGGAGCCCATGAGGAAGTGTCCCTCTGTACCTCAAAACTAGTAGAGCTTTTCTCACTATATAAGTATACGTGAGTAACTTATACATTTTTAGTTGATTCAGTATGTCTCACGATAGATATTACAAAAAAGTTTTTGAAACCAAAATCTGCAGATATGGGTCGATTTTAACATCACTTATATGGAGTTTGGTCAAAAATCGGTCTTATTCCACAAATTTTGGATGGAGATACTGCCGTTAATCAATATTTGCGAAAGTCTATTTGAATACAAACTGTATTTAATATTGTGTACTCACATAGCATGCTCAAAAGTATTAATTTATTACACATGGTCAATCAATTGAGAGTAATAAGTATTCCTATAAACACAAACTGCACTAAAGAGAAGCCAATAACTTTTACATTTAAAATTATTTATTTTATTTATTCAAGCAATATTAAAGTCGCTACGGTAGTGACAGACCAATTAAGAGATATTAATGAGTTAACGAAGCGATATGAGGAGTAATGAAATAAAATTCATATTGACTGGTTACGTTTGACATACAGATTCGATGTTTTTAATTGCATGGCGATTTCAGGAAGTGTATTCATTGATTTTGTATAGTAAAAGTTGTAATTTTTAGCACAAAATTACCTTTAATTTCATTGAATGTAACGTTTGGAATTGTGTCCGGTATATGGCAATAGGCTCACCCACTATTACATGGGACTCATAACATAAAGAGTAAAAAATGGGTGTAACATTGTACAGTGGCATCAATTGTCGTAATAAGCACCTCTGCCTCCCCCTTCCGGGATAAAAGGCGTAATGTTATGTCATGAATGCAACTTTAAACTGTCAAACACCAAGCGGTCACCGGTGACCGCAACCTATTGTTCTATAATTGTGTCTACAAAACCGGTACTCGACGAGTTAAAGGTAAAATTTCGCCCACTTACGACTGCTATCCCTCTACTGCTCGATACGGGGACTAACGCCCTATAACTAACTATACGTCCCCCCTAATATTTGTAATTTTTTTGTTGATACACAAGTTTTTGAATCCAAAATACCTGTCCGCTATTGGGATGGTATTAATGAATGGTTAAGATTCATACACGTATAGAGTATAGGGAATACTCTTTCCCTAAAAACTAGGTGCGTATTAAAAGCTTTTCTATCATCACAAAAATATAATTATAGGTACATAAATTATAAATTCAAGTTTAAATTACTTATTAAGATTTACAAAGTTTCACGTCTAGATTAAGAAGCCTTTTGGAGCGAGATCACCAAAAAACTACATATTTATTCGCGATTCAAACTGTACCCAAATACTGTCATATACCTAGTATTTTCCAACGAATAATTCTCATAAGCTACTTTATCGACAGTTTGGGAACTACATAGATGGCAGCACCTGACAATAGACGCAGTATGTTGAGTGTTTAACAATCACCGCGCCTGATTGCTTCGTAGCCATCCTCTATTTGATGTCCATTAACCGTCTTTGTTTGTTCCCAAAGCATTCATTTTATAGCCGTAATTGTTGCTTCCGTGTCTATATTTTATAGTTTATGTATAAATCTTTTATAAGTTTTTATGTAGCTGCAGAATGAACACTAAAAGGAAAATGAAACAGGGTTCCAGCAATTTGAATAATCGGAAACTATATACTTATTTATTCATCAATTAAAGTATAGCAATTAGTAACTAATAAACAAACATACATATATCAACAGCCTATAAATACCAACTGCTGAGCAAAAGCCTCTTCTCACTTATCACTGAAGATTTAAGCATTACCTAATCACCACGCTTGCTCAATGCGGGTTGGCGATTTCAAACTTATAATTTGGTTTAGTTTGTCAGCGCTGTCTAATCTTAAAAAGTACATGTAACCCGGAAAAAGTCACATTGGTACTTGCCGTTGGTAGGTTTCGAACCCACTTCTCTTTCACTATGACATTTTATAAATACTTTTTTGTAACCTTACCTTTTAGTTTAGATATAATATAATATAACATAATTCCAAGCATACCAATTTTATGCGCATACAAACATCAATACATAGTATAAAACAAAGTCGCTTTCGCTGTATGTCCGTATGTATGCTTAGATCTTTAAAACTACGCAACGGATTTTGATGCGGTTTTTTTAATAGATAAAGTGATTCTTAAGGAAGGTTTGTATGTATAATACATGCATATTGCACCCGTGCGAAGCCGGGGCGGGTCACTAGTTTAATATAAACATAACTAAAAAATATTTTTCAAATCCTCCTGCCTCTCAAATTAGTGGAAAAGTACCACCTACTAGTTTGAGAGCTAAAAATATAGTTGTTAACAACGCAATTCTAAGTTTAAGTAAGAACTTTGTTATCCAAGCAAACATTATCAACACTTTTGGTACTTCTAATTGCATGTTTACTGTGTGGAAATAGAATCTCAAGTTGTTTGTCACTCACATTCCATCGCAGAGCCTCATTGTACGCTTGTGTGGACTTTTCGAAGAGTTCCAGGCGTTGTAAATAGTTCCTGGAAGAATAAAATGGGTTCTGTAATAGGGAATTGGTTTTGAATAGCTTCATACAAACTATTAAGTAATTGGAAGCTACTTTATGGCTGAAGCCAAATCTCTAGCATGTTTCGTTATTTTGCACTTTTTATACTTAGTCTTATATAATTGAGGAAGGTCTTTCTCTTATCTTTCTAGTTAGCATATTATAAAAATACTTATACCTAATGACTATTGGATATACGCAAAAAGGCTCAATCATTTACCTCGAACAACCTAAAATAAAAAAGTTAGAAAAAAGTCAATAAAATTGCGTAGGTAGATACTATCGGATCCCTTTTTTAATTAACTCGGAAGTAATGAAGTAATCAATCATTGTCTACGCAATATAACATGAATTGGCAGGTGAAGGTTCTAGTGGCCCTTCGTTATACGAGATAGGGGACGGAATATAATAGAATATAACTCAATGACACTCTATGACGTCATTTTATGAGGGATCCCTGATCACTCTATCGTGGACCGTTCGAGTTGAGCCCGTTTCTATGCGACTGAGCAAAAAGTAGCTTCGTTGTGTTGTATTATGTAATCGTATGATTCTATATACAGAATCAAGTAAAGCAAATGTGTATTTTATGCGACTTATTTTAGTACAAACGACTGTTTATTGTAGCGTACGCGTCGTCGCTCACCTGAGGCAGAGAGTGGAGTGAGTCACGACAATAAACAGCAGTACCGAATAGACAATTTGTCACTACGTTCCAGAGTACGAAAACTTTGGCTTTGTTTGTAGTACATACCCTCTTTCGCGGAACACGTTCACCGCGTTACATATGGGTCTCTCCTCTGGCTCTAATTTCGACTTCATACTTCTAAGGCTCCCCTTTGTCTTACACGAAGTTGCACATCATTATTATACTGACTGTTTTCATAGCAATGTAACAACTTCAGGAACAAATCTAGGTGACCTCGATTCTCTCAAGTATATAAAATTTGGGGTTGGCGACGACGATCCCGAATTACGATATTCATGGAATTAAAATTTAGTATCTGTTATTATCTTTATGACGGGATTTATGGGGGATAAAAATGATGTTAAATTGGAATGGTTTCTGGAACCCGTATAAAAATTAAATTTTAATTTTGAATACTAAAAGCGAAATTGCAGTTTCAGTAAGCAATAAGTAGAAGTAGGTGCTTTAAATTAATGAGGCATTGTAATACGAACTTTCTAGATGTAGTTCAGTAATAATTGTAAATCTAGCAGACTAATGATCGGCATAACATTACATCGCAACTCCTAGCTCTCATTAACTACTATTATTATGTGCCTATTATTAAACAATGATGTAATTTAATAAGATAATTGCGTTCAATTATCATTCATGTCGAATATTAGAACCTATATTATGAAAATAATTTTGAAAACAAATACTTATTGAAGTACTATACTTTTTACTTGATCGTCTAAAGTAAAAATATTTTAAAACTAGCTGTGCCCGTGACTTCGACCGCGTCGAAACGAAACAGCTCGTCCCCCGTAGGTGATATCGTGATAATTATGTAGCCTATATGTCATATTCATGTAAAACTTGAAATAAATCCATGCTTCGCTTTTTGAGTTCATCCCGGACATACATACATACAGACAGACACAAATTCTAAAAACCATATTTTTGGCTTCGATATGGGCTATAGAACACTCCCCAAGTATTCACTGTACAATTTTCATTTTCCTACGATTTTATTATAGGTCAATTATTTTCAATCCAAAATATGCACTTTTTTTATGGGGGGATAATCATCGAACGACTGCTCCCCCTGGGTTAGGCGGGAGGGAGTTTCAGACTCTTACTGACTAAAAACCACCCCGTTCCTTCTCCTGCACGTCGGTTGGTAACCCGTTAGGTTTTCCGCGACAGGCACCCAATACCGTGTTTTTACATTTCTCAATGCAACACGAGAGCCAGATAAGACATTGGTGGAATGCACAAACATCAATCTGAACGTTCAGTCGCAGGAACCGTTCACAGACAAATGTAAAGTTTTATTGTTATTCATCGTGGTCGTAAAATATCTTTGGCGGATATTTTCCCCCTCTTTGAAGACGGAACTGCGCTAAGTATTAAGTCTTTCGTTAAGAACTTTAAAACTTGCAACTCTTGAATCCAGAACTTCGTTTACGAGGGGATTTTAATGCTTGTAAAAGCTAGACTTGTTTTTCGCAAACATTCTAATGCTCGTGTTTTCATGAAATATTACTTTGAATGTGAATATGAGAGGTTTCATTAAGGAGTTTGTTTGTCGTTTTTTACAGTTACATTGCTTTGAAGTCTAGAACTGGGTACTTGCCAACTAGTCAAATTCAATACTTTTTCCGAACTTTAAAAAATGTCAGTGTTCTGAAATTTGTACGAGATTGTGTATTGTGACGTCACGTTTTTTACATTTGGTCATAAAATCAATTAATGAAAGTGTTGTTATTTTTTAATGTTTTATTGTATTAAACAGTCAAAATAATTTATTTTTGATTAAGGGAAGTACCCAACTGGGCCCAGTTTATGACAGTAGGCTTAAAACTCAACAGGACTGGTGAAAAGTGATGCACCTCCCTCTACCGTGAATTAAATCTGAGACTATACATGTGATATTATATTAATGTTTAAAATCCTTACTAATATTATAAATCGGAAAGTGAGTTTGTTTGTTTGTTCTGCTTTCACGCCGTAACTATTAAACCGATTGCTTTGATTTTTTGCAGACGTAAAGTTAGAAGTCCAAATTAAATAATAGGGTACTTTGTATCCCGGAAAAAATTGATATTTCCGAGGGAAAACAAAAGTATTGGTATAGATGGCACTGTGTGTATTGGTATGTCACATAGGCTACTTTTTATCCTTTTGTGACGCGAGCGAAGCCGCGGGTGAAAGCTAATAGACTATAATATCAAAAGACAATTTCACGTCCGGTTCTCCCCACTGACGTGAATTTGCTACGGTTATAAAACGTCGACAAATCAAAAGCCTATCCTTTTAATATAGGCAGGCAACGCGTCACAAAATTTAACAACATATGTCTTGGACCATTTAATGCTTCATGAGCCGTGTAAAGAGTCCATTTTTTACTTTTTTGTTTGACTTATTGAACGTAAAAGGCAATATTGAAAACCCCTAAAAATATATGGAACTTCTTTCTTTATGGCCGGATACTTATGGGATAAAATGGTGTCTATTATTTAAGGCTGAATGCTTTGAATCAAAAGGAATACGTGATGCCTTTGACACATTCGTGGTGGTTGCTCTTTACTAAAAGAAAATTATTACAGAAAAATATGAGGAGACCTCATCTCCTCATATTTTTCTGTCGAACGAGTCGTTTTGCTACGTCGTAGTTAAATAGCTACGGTGTAGCAAAATAAGCTACGTTTTTGTAGACGAACCACTTTAAATTAAATAACATATATTTGGCAGGAGATTTATATACTTCTCAAGTTTTTGATAGCTATTTTAAAAATACAAAAAAAATAACAGGAAAGTGTTCAGTGACATATTTAATTTTATCAGTTAGTCAAGTACTGTTTTTTCTTTCATAATCGTATTCTATTAATACGGTCTCTCTGAACTTTGCTTCATTTATGCACAAAATTATACAATGATCAAATAATGACCATATCTTTCTAAAGTTAAGACGTCATACATACATTGGTATGAAATTGCGAAACATGAAAAGTCGCTTTATTTAAGTCTCACTGCACTTAGAGTCCATGTTCTTTGTACGTTTATATGTAAAGGCACTTGTATATTAGCTTTTATTAGTACTAGAAGAAAATGTTGTGGTGGTTGTGACTCGAATTACATCATTTTTCAATTCAATCCATTGTTTTTATAAAAACCATCTTTAGACATACTGAGTTAACTTAAAATTACGAGTTACTTACGTAAATATACTGAGAAAGGCATAGTTTCGTGTCACTGAGGAATTCTTCCTCATAAGCAGTGTGCGCGGTCGCGGCGACGTCGCGTCGCCAAAAGGCTGTGCAATCGCGACCGCGAATAAATTTTTAGTTAATTAATTCTGTTGTTGCAACATTGAAACTCCATTGAAATAACTCTTGAGGTACACATGCTAATTTCAAGCACTAAAGCATTCTTCAATTGAGGACTTGTCACTTAGTAGCATGTGTGTCGGAATGTTGCTCACAATTAGTATGGTCATTTCAGGCATGCTTTTAAGTCCAAATGCGTTCGAGTTTTGAACATTAATTTTGAGCATGCTCAATAATCAACGCGTTGTAACATGCCACTTTAGAGCAACAGAAGTATCTACACATTCATTATTTCTGTAGTGTTGATTACAGACTGCCTCGCTGGCCGAGTGGTCGCAAGTGCGACTGCTGGGCAAGGGTTCGATTCCCGGGTCGGGCAAAGTATTACTGGGTTTTTAAAAAAAATCTCAGCAGTAGCACGGAGTCTGGAAATGTGCCCGGTATATGGCAATAGGCTCACCCCCTATTATATGGGACTCATAACATAAATAGTGAAAAGTGGGTGTTACTTCTGTGTGCACCTCTACTTACCCTTACTTACGTTACGTTACGTTAAGTTATTGATTACAGAATTAAATCACCAATTTTCATAAAACTCATCTGAAAAACCACACAAGAACAGATAGGTAGTCTTAATCAAATTCCCTACCAAAATATACCGCCACTGAGATAGTAAATTTATATGCCCTACTTAGGTGTCCTGACAGTGACAAATTCCCTAAGTATGAGGTATAAATATAGATGATACTATTAAAAGCAAGTATTAATCAAAATTTCGCGTATCTGTATAGATTCGTCCGTTTTAGGCAAGATAAAAGTAAAATTACAAAGTTAGGTATGCCTAGCGACAGTTGCGGTTAATGCTTTTTGACCTTTATGCCTTTCGTAATATGATCTAAAATAAGTTAATTTTAAAATGTTAACTGAAGAATATAGCTGACAATTTTAGTGACACGTTAAAATCGTCATAAATTTTTGGTATTTTATTGCTTTTTTTAGGGGAGAAAAACATCCAATTATTTCTCGGGAGAAGGAGTGTCAGATTCTTACTGACTAAAGACCACCCTGTTCCTACTCTTGCATTTCGAGCCGGAGCCCCGGCAACTCGTTAAGCGCTCCGTGTTGGCATCAGCCCTAATAAGTTTCGTGTAAAGTATTAAGGTCTTAAACTCACATTTTTTCCGGTTGTGTCATGTATTGCCATAAGAAAAAAGATATTTCGCAAATGGCTACTTTGCTTAATCAAAACTAAATTATTTCGACTGTCCAATACAATGAAATATTAAAAAATAATCACACTTTCATTAATTGGTTTTATGATCAACTTAATTTTAGTATTTTTCCAGCAAAATCTGAAGTAATAAGTATGATGTTTGACGCTAAAAAACGTGACCTCACATTATACGATCTCGTACGAAATTCATAGAAATCTGTCGATCTCGAGAGTTTGAAAAATTAGTATTGAATATGACTAATTGGCAAGTATCCAATTATGACGAAGGTTTTCGGAAATGATACCTCAAATAAATAGTGTCCACATAGCGACGGTTACCATCAGACTGACCTTAAATATGTACTACTATTAACTGTATATAAAAGGTAAGTAACCGAAACAAAATAATATAATTGAATTTAAAAATTGTATTAACTCAAAGCCATTCTAAGCTAGGCTCTCGAGTAACTTCGATACCTTTTTTGAAATAGGCCTTTATTTCAAAGGATTATCCGCAACGAATACTAAAAGGCCATTTTTTAAATAAACACGTTACGTTATAAAATTGTATTTGAATTTGTTAAATGTCAAAACGCCTGAAAAAATATTTTTAAATTGTTGCTTGACATAAATAAAATGTTGGTATTGATGCACGATTTAGTTATAAAATAGCTTGACGTTTTGAGAATTGGAGAAATTGATATTGTAACAAGTCAAATCTAGTCAAAATGTTTACTCCTTTAAAGTTGTCTTACTATATTTCGCTCTTTTATTTCTACCTTTTTCTTAATTTTGTTTCTAATAAACATTACTTATTATTCGTATGAATTCTGTATTCGAAATTCAAGATGCTTGGCAGTACAATTTCCATGAACATACGTCACCAGCGAAAAGCTCAAATCGAAAACGAATTACTGAGAAATTTCCACAAAGTACCCCAATACCACCAGTATTCCCTATACCAGTAATACATCAATTCACAACAGAATGGAACAAATGCACACAAATCCCCCATTTACAGAGCAACCGAACAGTTTTAACAAAACACTGACCACTACCATTTGATGGATGACCACAACACGACCGCATTACTTCAGTTCGACTTAACATTCATTGATTCAAATAGAATTTGGGGAATCAAGCAACAGACGTGATCTATTTTGTATGAGAAACTCGCTCAAGTGAAAATGCTGGCGTAAATAGAACGAACAAATGGTACTGTGGTATTGAGATCAACCATTTTATGTTTGATAGCATATTTCTTTTTTGGAATTGTGTGTGAGAAAATATTCTACGTACTATTTATGTGTGTTGATGCTGTTGGATTTATTGTTCGAATTATTGACCCTTACGTTTAATGTTTATTAATTATAACATAAGGATGATTCACGTCACGCCGTACCCCGGCCTGGACACGTGCATCGTGCACCGGCGGCAGTGCCAGTCATTCACACTACACTGTCTCGCGACCGGACCGTGGCGGAGCCGGGAAACAATATCCACTTACATTTCAACGCCTTGTTCCGTCTGGCGCACGGCAAGGGCACAGCCGAGACACGATCAGGCATGAATCACTTCATACAAAAAGTATACCACAATGTTCATCCGTAGCCCGTCCGATGCCCGTTCAGGGCCATGGCTCGGTGTATCGTGAATCATCCTTAATTTTGACATAACAGAATGTCACTACTGTCAATATCATCACCATCTCCTTTCTCAAGGCAAGTGAAATAGATATGTTAGTATTATACGTTTTACGCAAGGTGTTCCCACCCAGCAATTATGTAACGTTGTGTAACACGATAACATATATAATAGCGTGTAACATACTCTACAACATGTCCAGTTACTACTACAACTTTTATTATAATTTGTTTTACAAATGTTAAGTCAGTCTCTAACGTTGTATGTATTACTACTGTGTGGGAGCACCTATAGATAACTGTACAATCATAGCGTATCTCTTATTACTTCAGATTGACTCCTCACACGTAATATGATGATGACAGAGTATGAAAATTAAAAATGTAATTATTCCGTTGGTTAGGTAATGAAACGTAAAAATATTAGATACGTATTTTTTTTATTTTGTTGTATAATAAAACGATACATAGATATACCGAATCAAAGTTTAGGAGTGGGGGCTAAACCGTCGTTTCTACGTATAAAATGTACATAGAAGTGACGTCACGCGACATTTCAAATAAATATATCATCGAAACTATTCGTTTCCGTAAAAAAATTAAAAATATATGACTAATTTAAAATAAAAATTAGTCATCTACCCTATTCTCTTACTCTATACCGTGACTGTGCAATATAATTCTTCAATATAATTACAGAGAAGCTCTGATAGCCCATCTATCTGCATATTCTTACCTAGCTTTATGCCCAGGATGAAAACAGCTTTCCCAGCACAGCGCCAGCTTCCATACTAATGTGTTTAAGCAACACATTTTCAACGTTAGACTAAATTATAATAAAGCTTGCTTGAGGCAAAACTTTCCAATTTATGTTGCTCTGCGTCCTTATAATGGAATGAATAGGATAATCTAAATATAATTTAAACATTATGGATGAGAATATTGATCCATTATCCTGTGATGTGTTTAAGGTGGTAGGTAATTTCTTACATAAATAGGATTTATAATTTCCTGATACCTAATAATATATTTTTGTTGCAATATATCTATACGGATACAATAATAATATGTGTTTTTCATGGCATATTGCTATAAAAAAGCAGATATATCACCTGATGGTAAGCAATCGGTACAGCACATTGAAACTCGCCAAACTAGAGGCGCACTAGAGTGCGGAGAGGCCTTAATACATACGGAATTTGGAGAATAGGGATGGGGCCTGCGGTAACCTCACATACAGGGCGAAATACAAAGCAATCGTTGTTTCACGCCGGTTTTCTGTATGGTGGTAGCATCAATCTAGCCGAGCCAGTCCATTCGTGCCGAAGCATGACTCCCCTACGTGTATATTTTTTAATAATTATTCTGTCCTAAAAAATAAGTATTTATTTATATTTCATGGAAAAAAACCATTATAACTATACATAAAAGATGAGTGTATTATGATAAGTATATTATGTTCTTACTTCTTATACGTTTCCGAGAAGAAACACTTAGAAAAAATAAATTTTGTCTTTGAAGTTGTATGCTTATTCTTAAAAAACTAATATTTTGAAGATTGTAACAGAATAATTAATTTCATTTACGTAATTTTTTGTATTAAGTATAATGTAAGTTGAATTAACATTGACAACATACATAGTTAGTGCGGTGGCTGGGCAACCGGCTGCCTCGCAACGTTTCGCGGGATCGACATATTGTTGTTCCAGGTCTGGGTGTCATGTAAATGTGAACTTGTATGTTTGTAAACGCACCCACTACATAGGAGAAAATCCTACTGTGGGGCGACGTAAAAAAGCATTTGAAGTTGAAACAAAATATTAAAATGTAGCAATCGGTTAAAAATTACAATATATGTTGAGTAAATTATTTTTCAAAACCTCTTTGTAACTAGCACTTAAACTTAAAGCAATTATAATTGGGTACTTTCGACCAAATGATTTCGACCGTTCAATACAATAAAATAGTAAAAAATATTCACACTTCCATTAATAGATTTGCTGGAAAAATACTACAATTAAGTTGGTAAGTACTAAACTTTACTAAACTTTGAATTTGACTCAAAAATAACAAAATAGATTTATAAGAGAGAGAAATAGAGCCGTCAAACTGCAGTTCACGCATGCTTTCTTGATCTGTCGAGGGCTTTTGACCTGGTTTCTTACGATCTTCTATAGAAAAAGTTAGAAAACACTAGCCTACCAATGGAAATTATCAACATCTTTAAGTTCTGGTACGGAAGCCAGGTCAACTGCGTGCGATGGTCGGGAGCCATGTCGCAACCATACAGGTTGGAGTGCGGGGTGCGACAGGGGGGCATATCCTCGCCAACCCTATTCAACCTGTATATGAATGATCTGACTGTGGCACTCTGTAGCACTCGGGTGGGTTGTCACATAGACGGAATTAACGTAAACAACATAAGCTATGCCGACGATATGGTGCTGCTGAGTGCCTCGGTGTGTGGCATTAAGAGACTGCTGACTGTCTGTGGGGCATATGCCCAGGAACACGGATTAAAATATAATCCAATAAAAAGTGAAGTCATGGTCTTCGAGGCCCGAGGAAACAGTACGGGTGGGGTGTTTCCTGGTATTATGCTTAATGGTACAGCTTTGCGTAGGGTTTCTAAAGTTAAATACTTGGGACATTTGCTGACCTCTGGCCTCGAGGACAATGATGACATTGAAAGGGAACGAAGGGCGCTGGCAGTGCGGGCGAACATGATAGCTCGCAGGTTTGCACGTTGTTCGACAGATGTCAAAATTACACTGTTTAGATCTTATTGCACTTCCTTCTATACGTGCAGCCTGTGGGCTGACTACACACAAAAGTCTTACGGTGCCCTTCGAGTTCAATTTAATAATGCGTTTAGGATGCTGATGGGGCTGGGACGATTCTGTAGTGCATCAGGGATGTTTGCTGAACATCGGGTGGACTGCTTCTACGCTACGATGCGTAAGAGATGCGCATCTCTGGTGCGTAGAGTGCGATGCAGCGCCAACAGCGTCCTCAACATAATCGCGAGTCGGCTGGACTGTGTCTACATCAGTCATTGTTCCGCCATTTCTCACGGAATGGCGCAATAGTGATTGTTGGGATGAATCATTTATTTTGTTTTGTTGTGGGTAATTTTAAGTATCACTAACACTAGTCTATAAGAACATTGTTACTAACAATTTGGACACAGTGGTCTGAAATAAAAGTATTATTATTATTATAGCAATTACTACTGTGGGGAGTAAGGGGCTGGAATTAGATCTACTTCGGCCCAATTGTCAACCTCACCTGCACGCGTAAGTGGTTCTTTATAGAATAGCTGACGGCGGCGATTTAACATTGTCGCGGTGCTCCCTGCTAGACAACAGACGAGGCAATGGCGACCGAGCATAGGCGGTATAACCTAAACCCAGGAAGGAAACTATCTGGATGAGGCTACAGAGGCCTGAGGAGAAAATACTCCTCGAAAGACCTGGTGCAGAAGGCAACGGGAAACCACTGCACTAACATCCCAAGAAATCTAGTATGGACATAAATGCGATTAGAGATGCTTTGGCATGCGACCCGGCCGCCGCCCGGCGCCATGACGATCCCAGGTCGCATGGTGTGAAATGTGCTACTGGCCACACTGGAGTGACTCATCGGGCGCAGTGTGGAGTAAATGCTGCTGGTGAAGGTGGGAGAACATCTAGGAACCAGCGGTCGCTGAGAAGGGTGGCAACGCTTGCGACATGGAATGTTCGTGGTATGATCCGAGAAGTGAAGAGGGAAATGATAGATGAGGAGCAGTCAGCGTACAAGCTAGACTTGTTAGGCCTCAGCGAAACCCATATGAGAGGTACAGGGTTCTACAAAACGAACAGAGGGCATACTGTCTACTTCTCGGGACCTGAAAGTGAAAGCAAGAATGGAGTGGCGATATCTGTTACGGCTGAAATGGATAAATGTGTGCTTGAATACAATCCTGTGAGTGACCGTATAATCACAGTCAAGCTGAACACGCAACCATGCCGTATGAACATCATACAGGTGTACGCCCCTACCAGCGCTGCCGATGAGGAGACTATTGAAGCATTCTACAATAAGCTGGAGGACACGTACAATTCTTTACCTCGCAGAGAAATTAATATCGTGATGGGAGATATGAACGCGAAAGTAGGCTCTACTGTGGGGGACGATCATCTGAGAGAGGTGGTTGGACGCTTTGGATTGGGTGAGAGGAACGAAAGAGGAGACAGATGGTTACAATTTTGTGCCGCTAATTCCCTCACTATAATGAACACCTGGTTTCAACACCACCCCCGACGTCTATACACGTGGACTTCACCTGGAGATAGAACGAGAAACCAAATCGACTATATCGCCGTGCCTCAGAGGTGGAAGTCGTGCATTATGAACACCAAGACATATCCGGGTGCGGACTGCAGCAGTGACCACTCGCTTTTAGTAAGCAGAATGTCGATCAAGCTGAAAAAATGCCCTCGTGTCACTGACAAGAAAAAACGTAGGCTTACACCCGGTGAACAAATAAAGTTCAAAGCAAGATTTCAGCAGGAAATAACAGCAGCACCGATAGATGGAGGTTTGAGCGTGAATAACGGCTGGGACAGGTTCAAGGAACTATTACAGGTAGCGCACAGGGAGAGTCAAACTGGAACATCTGGCGCCCCACGCTATTCTTGGTTATCGGATGAGACTTGGGACATTATCAAAGAAAAGAAAGAACTACTTAAACACCTCTCAAAGGATGATGACCGAGAACGATACAAAAGTCTATCGCGGGAAGTTCAACGTCGCTGTCGGCAAAATAAAAACAAGCACTATAACAACATTTGTACGGAAATTGAAGATCATGCACAGAATATGCAGTCCAGGGAGTTGTTCATGAAAATAAAATCAATAACGCGTGAGTTCAAACCAAGGACCTGGGCTGTAGAGGACACAAATGGTCGATTAATAACTGACATAGATGGGGTGGTCAACAGATGGAGAGAATATTGTGAAACCTTATATGCGGATCCGGCAGCGTCGGAGGACCCCCAGGACAACTTCAACAGCATACCTCTGGAACCAGAGATTCTGAAGTCTGAAATCGAATTTGCTATAAAGAAATTGAAAGCAAACAAATCACCCGGCATTGATGCCATATTTGCTGAAGACCTGAAGCAAATAGGTGATTCTGGAGTCAATTTTCTGCAAAATCTATGCAATCAGATATGGAGGACTGGTTGCTGGCCTAAGGAGTGGAGGGAATCCGTACTGATTCCACTACATAAGAAGGGATCTACGAAGTCCTGCGGAAACTACAGAACCGTGGCGCTCATTTCTCATGTTAGTAAGGTTCTTCTGTACGTAGTTAATGAGCGTCTTAAGGCATTTCTGCAGTGGCAGATTCCAGTGGAGCAGGCAGGATTCGTAAAGGGACGAGGCACTAGAGAACAGATCGCAAACATCAGGCAAATCATAGAAAAATGTCGCGAATTCAACATCCCAATGTTCATGTGCTTCGTCGATTACTCAAAAGCCTTTGACTGTGTAAGATGGGAATGCCTGTGGAAAATCCTGGGGGAAATGGGAGTACCGAAACACCTTGTGGCTCTTATTGCTAATCTTTACAGGGATGGAAGCACCGTGGTGAAAGTAAACAGCGTCCTGTCGCATCCATTTAGGCCTCGGAGGGGAGTCCGGCAGGGCTGTATCCTGTCTCCCATTCTCTTTAATATATATGGGGAATACATAATGAGACGAGCTCTGGAGGGGTGGGAGCGTGGGCTGTCTGTTGGTGGCAGGAGAATCAGCAATCTAAGGTATGCGGACGATACTACCTTGTTTGCATCGTCCGAGAGCGAGATGGCTGAGTTGATTGCAAGAGTAGAGAAGGAGAGCGAACTGGTTGGTCTCACCATAAATAAAAACAAGACCAAGGTGCTCGTTGTGGACAGAATGGGGACATGCACTCGCTCACATGAACTCAGAGACTTGGAGTTTGTGGATCGGTTTATTTATCTGGGCTCTCTTATCGATGGTGGGGGTGGCAGCGACGGAGAGATCAGAAGGAGAATCCAGATGTCCAAATCAGCAATGACGAAACTCACCAAGATATGGAAGGACCGAAATATATGTCGCAAGACCAAAGTGAGGCTGATGCGTGCGTTGGTTTTCTCCATTTTCTTGTATGGCGCCGAATCCTGGACCCTAAGGAAAACTGAGAGAGCAAAAATTGACGCCTTCGAAATGTGGTGCTGGAGACGTATGCTCCGTATTCCCTGGACCGCTCGTCGCACCAACGTCTCCATTCTCAAGGAGATCGGAATTACTACGAGGCTGTCCACTGTATGCCTGCAGCGAATATTAACTTATTTTGGCCACATTGCGCGTAGAGACCCCAACAATCTGGAGAAGCTTGTGGTTGTTGGTCGGGTTAACGGGAAAAGACCTCGTGGTCGCTCACCTACCCGGTGGTTGGATGCTGTAAAAAACCTAACCGGCCTGACAGTTCCACAAGCCATAAAGACCGCAGAGGACAGGGGCGTTTGGAGGAGGGTTGTGCATCAAGTGACGCGTGCACCAGACTAGACACGACCTTCAGTAATGAAGAAGACGACTAGGAAGGAAGGACTGTGGCGACACACGTCATACGTCAAATATCGATGCAAAAACAAATCAACGGATGACGTCATAAAAATCTTACATCACACAAGTAAAGTTTACATGCGAATTAACACGGATAGAAAATCCCAACAAACAACTGATAGGTAAAAAGCCCACCAGGCACGATCACCTCGCCTGGTCGAAAGCTCCTCCTTTTCCGATCTTTGGGAACTATACTCTCTGTTGCCTAAACTACCCAAATCGATTACTTACCATAATTTTTTTAAATGTACTCGTTTGCTTTACAAGATCTTCATTTCTGGAAAGAGTATCGAAAATGTTACAGTTAAGAACCATTAACCACGGTAACATACATATTATCCAAAGAACGCTTGTGCAACATCTTCGTCTACGCTAATTAGCTAAAACTAAAATAAATCCATTTAAACTTCTAAGCGGTTTCAAAAAATAAATTAAGTACAAAACTTTAATTAAACCTTACAAGCAAGCCTAAACGGTTCCAGAGTTTCCTTGTTTATAAAGAATAAAGTTTTTGGTTTGCCTTAAACACTGTACTAAATACGGAATATGTCTTTTGGTCACAGTAATATTTTTTGCAATGATACCATTCCTAGAACCGTGGTATATCTATACTAGAGGTAATATTATAAAGAGGAAAGATTTGTATTTTTGTATGTTTGTAATGAATAAACTCAAAAACTACTGGACCGATTGCAATAATTTTTTCACCGTTAGAAAGCTGCATTATTCAGAAGTAACATAGGCTATATAATATCACGCTAGGTCCTATAGTTGTGGAGCAGTAACCAAAAATGTTTTAAAAACGGGGGAAAAGTATCGTTTCTGAGGCCTTCCGTGCCGTGCGCTGATCATATAGTTAAAGTTATACAAAAATGCTCTATAGATGAATTGTTCATCTTAACATTATTTTTAAAAAAGTCCGCGAGAACATATGTCTACCTTTTATAGTTTACCCATAACAATCGTTTTAATGAATGGTTCAATCCTTATAAAAGTTTGCTCTAGATAACTTTTTGTTGTTGTTGAATTGTTCAATCGGTTACCTTAAGACTATTAATTCATCCAAAAGATACCTATTAGGTAAGTATCTTACTACCTACCTACTACTTACCTACTATTTCAAAAATACATAAAAAAGGCGCGGGGCGGCGCGCGGCGTGAAGTAAAATAGGTAGGTTCCTATTTAAGAAGAAAATAATTAATTTAATAAATGAAATAAGTAAATGAAGTCCGGAAAAATATTTTCAAAAGGTAAATACTTCCTAAATAAAAAAAACTGAGAATAAATATAAATAAAACGTAAAACTATGTAAAAAATCTTAAGTCCCCCCGTGCGAAGCCGGGACGGGCCGCTAGTTATGTATAAGGACATTTATCATTCATTTTGTAGTCTGATGTTGGTCTTCTATGAATTGATCATGATTATGTCCTTTATATTATTGTTTTATTCGACCGC